TAATGTTCTTTCTCAAGTGGCAACATAGTAGATAAGTATTATATAAACCAGCAGCAAATGGATAGGTACAGGTTGCTCCAGTTCAAAAATCGGAGACGTCTTCTCGAAAAAGAAAAAGGAAAAAAGACTCGATCACGAAGGAACGAGATTTCACGTTGCAAGAAGATCAAGCAAGTCTTGGTCAGACAAGCAGATCCTCGAACGATACCATGCTCGTTTTTACGCCCGGTGTTTCTAGTCACGCGATAGCTACGTACTTGTCAATTTAACGTAGAAATTTTTGCCTCGTTCGTTCCATTTTATTTATAACCAACGACAACGATTTGTGGAATAATCCTGAACAATCTTTGACGAGGATATGCAGCGTAATTTATTTTACGATTATTTTACGATTATTTCGACCACGAAGAAGAAAATCAGTCGCGTATCGTGGAATAAATATGGAATTGTGTCTCACAGGAGAATAAAACTTAAGAATTTTCTGATAAATCTTCGACAACGCTAAAGGATTAATTAAAATGTTACATTTCTTTCGAATTTTAAAGGGAACTTTTAAAGAGAAGAATATACTAAAAATTTCCAACAAATTATAATAAGAGATATTTTCAGTTGTTTCGCCGATGACACTAACGCAAATCGAAGTAAGCAATTTTTCGTAAGTAATCGAAATTCGTCTGGTACGACGATGAACCAGAAAATAAATTATCTGTTAAAATATAAATTACTACTACTGCTACTATTACTGTAAATACTAAAGACGAGCATAATGACGAAGTTGTAACAAAAATGACTTCCCGTGTTCTTCGTGACTCAGAAGATGGGAAGCCATTAATATAATAGCCTTCCACAGTCTTTCTTTTCTTTGATCTTTCTAAAGAAATTGAGTTTCTAGAATATATTTTGTTTATTTCCAGAATATAATTTTTAATAGTAAAAAAGACAATCTCTTAGAATGTATATTATATTCGTTTCAAAACTGAGAAAATTAAATAACACTTTATGCAACAATGAATATAATAGAATACGTTATTTTTTCCCCCGTCAACTTATTTTTTGTGTATAAAAGTTACTAGTCAGAAGTATAATAAATGCCTGTCGCCTGTTGTCATTCTCGTTAAAAATTCTACGTACATGTAGAACCAGTCACCCGTGTCGATTCGGACTTTTCATCCTGCGACATGATCGAGTGACTAGAGGAAGAAAAATGCGTATAACTCACGATTAGATGCGAAGAACATTGTCATCAACGCCGCAACAGCCCAAAGGAAGTCATCGTGAAGGCCGCCATCAAGGACAGCCCGTGATGGAAATGCCGGCTGTGAAAAATCTGCAACAAAACGTGGACTGTTGTGAAATTGCTTGAAAAGGTTTTAGCAACGACGATGAAAATTTTTCTACAGTAACAAAAGATTTGAAATATAATAATTATTTATTCCGTTCGCATTTAGTTTAAAATTCTGCTTTAATATTCTCGTTCGACAGAAAAATAACAATTATTCAATCTGCCAAATTTCTCGTCAAAGATGTGATTGAATTTGATCGAATCTCGACCATGATCGCGATTAGAAAGAAAAGAAAGGACTCTGAAGAGGACTCAATTCAAACGCTTAAATAAATGTGCACTAATTAAATGAAACTGATAGCAATATATGAAGACTTACAAAGTAGAAACGAAAGCACTACGCAGTTAAACACGGCGACGAAACGTCCTAACGTTACGATTTTCGATACAAGAATGACGCCTCGCCTCGCATAATCTGGTGACGACGGCGGATTTCTCGGAAAAGCCAAGTGGAAATTGTTTTCAACAACAAGCAGATTTTACGCTGTATACAATATCGTTTGGTTTACGAAGATATTGAATCATTTACAAGAACGTCCTATGAATATACGTATTATTCCCTCTCTATATTACCTGTACGAAACATTTCAAAATTTTATATATTATATATTAAAGAAATCTAAAAGATATTACATTGGTTATTTGCACAGATTGGAAAGTAAATGAAATTATAGATACTATATTTTAAATTTACTTCACATAAGACTTACGCTGTAGTTAAATTTATAATTTACTCTATTACTATATTTCAACATCTACTGTTATTTATTAACGAAGTAAATTAATTCATACAATATCTAGTGTATGAATTTTTCACTGTGGAAAATATTCAACGATAATATTTAATATTTAATAGTAATTGAATTTGAATTTAAGAATGACCATTTCTATCCACGTCTGCATACTTATGCAAAGACATTACACGAGAGAATCTTTTCCTCGATCTTTACTCTACTCTTGTCTGCGAAATTTATAAAAATTTCGAGATTGTACACGTAGACAACGGAAAATCACATAAAACGTGTAGTGCTCTCTATAATAATATTTGGCACCGATGAACCAACTTTCTGCCAAGATTCTATCCTTTTAATTACATCTTTCAATGATACGAGTTCGCGTAAGAAATCCGCGAGATTCTAATCGCAAGATTCTGCGGTTCAAAATCACGATGGTGTTGACAAGACGTGTCCATCGGTAAATCATTGGCTCAACTCGGTTGGTCACGAGCGGTGACATGTTTCGTAGCCCTCTATCAGGACGAGTCTATTAAATCTGCAACAGGACGGAATGTCTACCACGGTCATTACCATTCCGCCAAGTCGTAAGTTATCTTCGCTGACAGTGGGCGCGCATAGAAATGTC